CATGTTCCTGAGATAAGCAGCAGCAACAGGGCCTCCCCTCACTGTGTGGGAAAGGAGCCAGCACTGAAATAACGAGCCCAGGCCCCTCCTTTCTGGAGAGACATGTCACCTCTCCACCATTTGGGGTCAGTCACGTTGATTTTTGGCTAACTCACAGACTTTAGAGTGAAGCCCTCAGATAACAATCTGAACTTTTGCTTTAAGTTGGTTCCGCAAAGCGGATGGGGCTCTTTGTCTCCAGAGAGCTGGCTGAATGCTATTAACCCTTTGCAGAGTCTCCGAATGAATGGGAATCATTCTGGCCCCAGACTCTTATGTAGGATGGGCATTTTATGGGCGACATGGCGCATATTAGGAATGATTGTCTGCTGGTGTGGTAGAGAAAATGCCATACGGCTATATCGGTCCTTTCTTTCTCCTATAAGGCTTGATTCGCAAAGTGTCTTTATTTTAGCCATGTGAAATCTCATTGGACTTAAAGGCTACGGCTGGCCACAGACGGCTCGAATTTGAGGCGTGAGTGGCCCTGCAAACACCACTTGCCTCGACAAAAGTCGATTAAAAAAAAATTCCCACCAAAAGTTTTATTAAAGTGACATTAAAGGATAATTTTTTTCCCTCCCCCCCAATGTTAATGTCAGCACTTACCCTAAATGATGTCTCTTAATCCGATCTTCTTCTTTCCCAATGTTTCCATCTGTCCCTCCAGCGGTGTGGCGGCTCTCCGATCCAGCGCTGACTCCTCTCTGCTTACTGGCACTTCTGATCCCACGCTGTCTGCATGCGGGTGCACGCGTCCATAGACTTACCTTGCTTCTATGCTGGCCGAGAATCCGAACTGCGCATGCGCCCGCCCCAAGATGATATGCGGCCACTCGAACAGTTTCGTTTTCTCGGGCGGGAGCGCGCAGCGAAAACAAGGTAAGTTTAAACCTGCTGTTAAAGCGTTTTTTTTTTTTACTGTTTGCATATATCTACTGCTTGGTAGCAGTAGATATAGGCAAAAAAACGGGAGGGTTTAGAACCCCTTTAACCCTTGTAGTCAGGGTACCCCCACACTCCAAGGGTAAAGTGCTTGTTTTCATCTAGGTACTAAAATAAAAAAAGTTATACTCACCTGAACCTCAGAGCCGACCGGCTGTCACAACGCTCCCTCCAGCCTTTCACCTCTTATACTGCAGCAATGAAATGTCCCTCTGCGTCCTCACATCCTATACACAGTGTAGTGGACGTGATGACCCGAGGATCCTTACACTATACGTATTTTGACTAATTCTTAATGAACTAGCCAAATTCGCACAGTGGGTGCCGCTGTTGGCAGCTTTTTGTCCAGCATCCTTTTGGCCGGCATCCTTCGATCAGCTAAACCAAAGAGCCGGATGAACAGAGCCAGCAGCCAATGAGCTTTGGGTATTCTGATAGTGGCCGTCAGCCGCTGTCAGAGTACAATGCAAACATTGGGAAATTACTCGATCAACGCTCTTTAGCCCAGAGGGGGAGCAAAGCTAGAAGGACCAACTCCAGCTAGAAGCCGACTCCAAATTTTGGGCGAGTATAACTTTGTTATTTTAGCACCTAGGCACAAACGAGCAGTTAAAGTGACATTAAACCCTCATGTGTTTTGCATATATCTACTGCTAGCAAGCAGTAGATATATGCAAAAACATTTTTTTTTTAAGTTTATAAAAGGGTTAAAACTTACCTGTGTCACCCTCGCGTGCTCCCATCCGAAGATCTAAAGATTCTCCGGAGGCCACATAGGATCTTCAGCCTGGAGAAGAGAAGAGACACAGGGTAAGTTAATGCAGCAGCATGCACCCGCACAGACTCCACTGGACAGGTAGAGACAGGAGTCCGCATAAGTCCATGTTTTATACCGTGTTAAATTTTAAACCCATATGTAAAAATTAAAATGGGTTTATTTGGAATTTTATGTTACTGACCTACATAAAATTGTCCATAATAGTGAACTGGAAAACAAAATCGGCACATTATCCAAATTATGAACAAATGAAAAACTAAAAAGTCTTAATTTTAGAGTATATATAAATATTCACCCCCCATTGTTATGAAACCCCTTAATAAACTCTGGAAACGGCCTCAGCCACTCAATTAATAATTATTGGAGTCGAGTTCACCTCTGTGTAATTAAAGTGTCATAGGATCTGAAAAATTGTCTTTGGAAGATGTTTATTAGAGAACATATCTTTATGATGGCACTGGTAGACCATGCAAGTTTTAAAATAAGATAAAGTTCTGGAGAGGAATCCGTCACTGTTTGGATATTAAAAATCTCCCAAACCTTCAGCATCCCCAGAGCACCATTAAATCTATGGTTACAAAAACTTAGTAAGGAGGGCATAGGGAAGTAGTCACAGAAGCAACCAAAAGGCCAACGGTAACTCTGAAGAACCTGTAGTGACCCACCTAAGATAAAAGAAACAATCTATAGCACAGTATAATAACCAGTATGTTCTAAAACAACTGTGCTGGAAAAAAAGCCATTGCTGAAAAAAAAAAGTATTAAAACCCATTTGGGTATGGACAAGAGGCACATGGTAAACACAGTAAGCATGAAAAAAAAGGTTACCTGGTCTGATGGCGGAAAACCAACACTTCTTATCACTCTAAAATTAGGACTCCTGTGCCCAAGCATGGTCAAGGTCCTCTTGTAGGACTGCTTTTGATCTGCAAAGACTGGGAAACGAGGAATGAATGCAGAACAGACAAATATATAAAAACACCGTCCTGGTCTGCAGGAGATCTGAGACTGGGAGGAGGTTCACCATCCAGCAGGATAATGATCCTACATACACAGCCAAAGCTACAGTGGTGATGACTTCAAAATTGCTGTTCACCAACAATCCCCATCCAACCTGACAGAGCTGGAGCAATATTACCAAGAAGAATGGGCAAACAATGGAGAATCCAAACAAGGAAATCTGATAAAGAATTACTTCATAAGACTTGCAGCTGCAATTGCAGCCAAAGGTTGTTTTACCTAGTAAACGCTTGGGGTGAATACATAGGCTACCAACAAATATCTGCTTTCTATTAATAGTATTAACTTTTTACATTGTGTTGCCTCTTCAAAGTGTTAAATATGTTGTGGAAATCAAAATTGAAAAATCTAAATCTGTTTTAATTTTATGTTATAGCTACACAATACTTATACAAAGCAACACAAAGGGAGCCCCCTTTGTATTACTTTTTATGGTTTCAAGCTAGCCAGCAAAACACCCTAACTAAACTCTCTCAAAGAAAGGTGTTTGTTTTTTTTTGCATACATTTGCAAACACAACCCACACTGCCAGGGTTACTTAAAAGTGAGCCCGTCACGCTATTTAATCTAAAAAAAAATATGCCAACTGCTGTGAACCAGTGTCACATCTATGGGGTACCAGCTGACACCATGGGACTAAACAGCATAGGGCAATCTGCCACTACTCCAATTCTTGAATCTCCATGCACAGCACACCTCTCACCACACACAGATGGCACCCTGTAGATGTGATACAGGCTCACAGCAGTTGCCACAATGATTTTGGCCACATTGTTATTAGCCCATCAAAATACAAAAGGTTTTGAATCACTACATGAACAAGGACACAACCACACCCCTAATATAGATAAACAACAAAAAATAGAGATAGATGGGGCTTTTAAGGTGTCAAAGAAGGCAATTAAGGATAATACAACATAATAATGACAACATTACATAATAAAATAACATTTATTAAAAGATTACATGATCCACATGATAAAAAATATACCCACTAGCATCCATGATCAAACAGCATAAAACCTCCCTGGACTCTGTACATGTGCATGATACAAGCATGATTGATACAATCATTTTATTTTAACATCAATTACCTTATAATAAATATAATCATTTTATAAATAGTCATAATCACAGTAAAATATACTGCAAGTCTGTACTGCGTCCAGCCTTCTATGCATTTCGCCGAAGCTTCATCAGGAAGTTGGAGGTAACCTTCAAGATTCACATGAATAAGCCAATCAGTATATTCATATTTCAATCATAATTAACTAACCACTGACAAAATGTAACCAATTAAATACATACATAAATACCATAAGTGGGACATTAGTGGTGAGTGGATCCGCACTGCCGGGGAATCATCCCCAGAAACAGTCAAGGACAACAGAGAGGATAGAGAGAGGACAACGGCGATCAGATATAAGAAGCGCAATATCTGCCTCAGGATACCTATAAACAAATACCAATCGTATAATATAACATTAGGATGCAGCCAGGTGTGAGTACATAATATCTGCATCCTAATGTTATATTATACGATTGGTCAGAATGTAAAATAAATAATTAGGATAAAACATTAGGATGCAGCCAGGTGTGAGTACATAATATCTGCATCCTAATGTTATATTATACGATTGGTCAGAATGTAAAATAAATAATAATTAGATATATTACGGATAATTGTTATCATACTTACCGTAATTTTCCTTTCCTGGCTCCTCCTCATGTCAGCCTACTGTGGGTCATCTCCGCCCTCTTGACCCCCCTTAGGACCTCCCTAATAGAGAATAAAAGGTGGCCTCCCATAACCTCCTATGTTCCCTAACAAGTACTCGCGACGGCCACAAAAAATGGGGGGGACCGTCAGGCTGACATGAGGAGGAGCCAGGAAAGGAAAATTACGGTAAGTATGATAACAATTTTCCGTATTCCTGGCCCTCCTCATGTCAGCCTACTGTGGGATGTGAAAGCAATGCCCTAGGGAGGGAAAAAACTCAAACAGACAAACGAATCTGCAAAAGTATTTAATGTGACTAAGCGACACTCCCTTTAGAGAAGGCCGCTGAAAGAATAGATACACCTAAGGAATCCTCCGTTCCAAAACGAACATCGATCTTATAATGCCGGAGAAAAGTGTTTAGAGTGCTCCAACTGGCTACCTTGCAAATGGCATCGACTGGCACCCTTGCATAACTAGCCCATGAGGCCGCCATACCTCTCGTGGAATGAGCCTTCATAGCGTTTGGAGGGGAAAGACCCGCTTTTGTGTATGCCAAGGATATCGCCTTTATAATCCATCTTGACAAAACTCTAGGAGGCGCCGCCAGGCCCTTCTTCGCGCCCGTGGGCTAAACAAACAAGTTATCCACTTTGCGGAATTCTGCCGTCCTCTCCAGATATAAAGAGAGACTGTGTACCAAGTCCAATTTACTGTACTCCAACTCCTCTTCAGGAAGCTATGAAGAATCGAATGACAATAACTCTATTTCCCAGTTGTTGTGGAAACTGGACGCCACCTTTGGTAGAAAGGATGGCATAGGCCTCAACAGGATTCTGTTTGGGAGAACCAACAGGAATGGTTCCCTAATTGACAGGGCATGAAGCTCTGATACTCTCCTGGCTGAAGCAATTGCTAGCAGAAAGATGGTGCGTAATGTTAGATGCCACATGGAAGAAGACTGTGCCGGATCAAACGGACACTGCAACAAAGCCTTAAGGACTAACGTAAGATCCCATTTCGGGAACAGTGCTCTTTTAGGAGGCCGGATCTTGGCCACTCCCTTCATGAACTGGAGGATGAGAGCCTGTGAAGCTCACCTAGTGCCCGTGAGAGATGCCAGAGCCGATAGATGCACTCTCAAGGTATTGTAACTTAATCCTAAGTCCAATCCCCATTGTAGGAACTCTAAGATCTTGCCTACCGAAGCGTCGAGGGGATCAAATCGCTTCTCCGAAGCAAACTCCTGAAATCTGGCCCATACTTGGAAATACACCGCATTCGTGGCTGGCTTCCTAGCCTGCAATGGCGTCTGGATTACCGATTCCGAGATGTCCAGACCTTCTAAACGGCCCCGTTCAGTAGCCAGGCCATGAGCCGCAAACGTCTCAGATTCGGATGCCTGAACCCTGCCTGTTCCAAAAGATCCTGCTTCATGGGCAACTCCATCGGGTCCGTCACCTTCAATTGCCACAACAGTGGAAACCATGGCCTCCTCGGCCAGTAGGGCAGGATCGCAATTGCCCGCACCCCTTCCCTGAAGGATCTTCAGAAGAATCTTGAGAATCATGCAGAACGGAGGGAACACATACACTAGACTGTAATTCCATTGCTGTCTGAGGGCATCCTGCGCCAGAGCTGCCGGGTTGTAGAACCGCGAGAAGAAGCTTGGGACTCTCGCATTTGAGGCTGTTGCCATCAGATCGATCTCCGGAACTCCCCACAGACGAAATACTTGAATCAGATAAGATCTCTTTACCGACCATTCGTTGTGTTCTGCAAAGTCGCGACTCAGGCTGTCTGCCTCGAGATTGTCTGTCCCCGGAAGATAACATGCCATCAGGTCGTGCAAATTCAATTCTGCCCACCTGAATATCTGAACCGCTATCTGAAGGAGAGGAAGACTCCTTATCCCTCCTTGTTTCAGGACGTAGGCTACTGCCGACTTGTTGCCTGAGAAGACTTTTACTGCTGACCCTCGGATTAGAGGACACAACGCCTTCAAAGCTTCCCGAACTGCTTCCAGTTCCAACAGGTTCAAACTCTCTGGAACCTGACCTAGCCAACGAGCTTGCACTCGGTGTCCCATACACACCGCCCCCCAGCCCTTTGCGCTGGCATCGGTCGTTACGGGTATGTACTGGATCGCCTCCAGGGACTTGCCCAGAGTCAGATTCGGTTCCGCCGTCCACCACTCCAGTGATTGGCGAACAAATTCCGGGAGATGAATCCGTTGAATAAGGCACGGGCGATCCCACTGTTGCAGAAAATTGAATTGGAACAGTCGCCTGCGCCACCGTACCCAAGGCACCACCGGAATTGTGGAAGAGAGGAGACCCAGAAAGCTCATGCATTGTCGTGCCGAAGGACATTGTGTCCGCATCATTTCTGAAGCCCTGCTCTGGACAGTTTTTCACCTTCTTGAGGGGCAAGAAGACCTTGGCCTGGTCCGTGTCGACCACACAACTCCCAGATACTCCAATCGTCTGGACGGCCTCAAAGAGCTCTTCTGCTCATTCACCAGCCATCCAAAAGACCTCAGAGACCTCAGAACTTGATCCCGATGAAGAACTGCTTGAGACCTGGAATTGGCTAAGACCAAAAGATCGTCCAGGTAGTGGTACACTTGAATTCCCCAAGTGCGTAATATGGCCACCTGGGCCGACAGCAGTTTTGAGAAGGTCCTTGGAGCTGTGCAGAGGCAGAATGGAAGGCATCGAAACTGATAATGTCGGTTGTTCACCGCAAAGCGGAGAAACCGCTGATGTCCTCGAAATATCGGCACATGCAGATAAACATCGGCCAGGTCTATGGACACCAGCCAGTGCTCCTTGGTGACAAGAGATATGATAGTCTCCAATGATTCCATCCTGAAGGGAAGCGCCCTTACGAATGAATTGAGGAACTTGAGATCTAAAATCGGCCTGAATTTTCCGGAAGCTTTCCTGACCAGAAAAATCGGAGAATAAACTCCTGATCCCCTTTCTTCCCCTCGAACTGGAATGATTGCTCGAGACGTCTGCAATTCTTTGATATAATCGAGCAAGTATCGAAGCTTTTCTCTGGAGGAAGGAACCTGAGTCTTCACAAAATGAGATGAATTCGATTTGATAACCTCGATGGATTATATCCAGAATCCAGGCGTCGGCAATATTTTCCGCCCAAACCGCCCCAAACAGTGCCAATCTGGCACCGACTGGACCCGGCTGGACGGGCACACCTTCAGAACTGTTTGTCTGACGGCTTCTGATTACCGGCGGTTCTGGACTTTGTTTTAACAAAGGAAGGCTGGGCCGATTTCCATGGTGCCCGACAGAACTCTCTGCCTGGTCGATAGGACTTTGCTTCCCTGAAGCGGTCCCTAGAAAACCGCCCAGTGCCTGGCCGAAAGGGCTGTCTCTGCTTTCTCCGATCCTGGGGCATGAGCCGCGATTTATCGCCAGAAACTCGTTTTATGGCCTCCTCTAGGGTTTTCCCAAACAGCAGCCCACCAGCAAAAGGAAGAGCACACAAGCTCTGCTTTGATGCCGAGTCCGCCGAACATTGACGCAGCCATAGGGCTCTTCTAGAAGTCACGGAATGCGCCATCAGTCTAGTATCCAGCCGTACCTGATCCACTGCTGCCTCTGCAACGAAATCAGCCGCCAACCTAAGGTTATCCAGGGCTGCCGTTGCCTCCGACAGCTCATTATCTTCCTATACCTTCTCAACCTGAGCTAACCACGAACGCATAGCTCTAGATACAGATGTTAAGGCCACAGCCGACCTACAAGCCGACCCTGCTACTGCGAATATGTGCTTTAAATCGGCCTCCAACCTGCGATCCATTGGATCCCGAAAAGAGACTGAATCGTCCAATGGTAACGTGATCTGACGTGCCAACCTTTGTAGCGCTGCATCAACTCTTGGAGGACTTTCCCACGGGGAAGCATCTTGAGCCCTCAAAGGATACAATTTAGCCATTCGATTGTGCGTATTTAACTTCTTATCCGGTCTGGACCATTCTTCCTCTATAAGTTCCTTAATCTCAAATATCAGAGGAAAACAAGGCAGTTCCCGTTTTAGCTCCGGGAAATATTTTCTAATCTTCTGCGGAGCCAGGCTTGCCTCCTCCTCCCAGCCAAGTGCCTCCTTTACTGCGTTCACAAACGCTGCTACCCTGGAAAAATCAAAGGCGAAGGACACTTCCTCCGGCTCCCCAAAAGAATACTCTGATACCGGGCTATAAGGGTCCTGAGCTGAAGGTAGCTCTCCCTCTTCTTCCGAACTACTCAAAGGCCTTTTCCCATGGCCCGAAGTCTTCAAGCCATGTGAAACTGCATGCTCAATAAAGTGTTGCACCTCCCGGGCTTCTGACTTCTTATCCTTTGCTGCCTCTTTAAGGCATGCTCAGCAGAGACGTTTGTTGGGAAGAGCTTTTTCACCACATGACCAACATTCTGCAGAAGCCTGCGTCTCCGAATGCCCCGGTAACGGGGAGCCTTCCCTGAAATCGCACCTTTTAGGCGCTTTATCTGCGTGATGATGCTTCTTGTGCTTATGGCCTTTGGCCGAGCGCTTTCCCAGTTTGGGCAAATAATCCACAGACTCTGAGCGTCTATCCGGAGAACCGGGAGATTTCCTTAGCGGGCTCTTTCCCCTGCAATTATGAAGCAATCAATTAGACAGGCTCTCCTTTTTTTCTTTTTTTTTTTTCTTAGAGGCAAAAACAACAACAGTTACTTCACCTCCTGCTCTTCTTCAGTGCTTTGGATGGCGGACCCATGACGAACAACCAGCCTATAGAGAGTCCAGGACCAACTACAGAAATACAAGCCACCATAAGCAAACCATAACCCAGCATACAGAGCCAGAGCACAGGAAAAAAACTTCTAACCTTTCTGGAGCACCGCCATCCAAGGGCCCTTTAGACCCCATAATCCAGTCCCTGCACCAAGGGACGCTGATCATAAGGCAGTGTTACTGCCAGACAGGCCGCCGACCAGCCGGGAGAGGCAGAACCCGGCTGGTAATACTAATCCACTCGATATATATATATTTTTTTTCTTAGGAGTGGGACAGAACTTATGGAAATTCAATATAGAAATACAGATTTCTTTTTAGTTGTTGACCATGGATCAAACAAACTTGTGACAGCCCCTGGAAATCAGGTCTCATTACTGGCAAAGGGCGGACTGTAGCTCTTTGCTATACCTTAGATACCTTCAGTACTGATAAATACATTAAATGCATTTCCAGGCCAGGTCTCTGTGCAATATTATATGTTGAGGAATATGTTTGTCAATGGATTGACTGAAGTTTTTTTTCTTTTCTTTTCTTGGCTGTAGAAATTGAGAGGCCTATGTTGCTGTGAGTGAAGTGTGCCCCAGGCACGGGCCTTCTTACATTTCCAGGGGATCCAGGCTGCTATCGCAGCTTTAAGTGCATACTTTCTCTCATGCATTTATGCCTCCGGGGTGTAATCAGTGTTTCTGATAAGGCCTCGGCTTCAGAGATGCCTGTCACCATGGAGATGGAGTTGAGGAATCTCAGTTTTAAGATATGGTGAGCGACATGCAGTCTGCGGCCCACCGCCATTTCT